CAGTCTACCGGTACCACCGGTGGGGTCGAGAGTTGTCGCAGTCCGTAACTATCTCGCTGAATTCAGTGCCATCTACATGACAAAGAATCCAGTGGGCCGGCATCAGACTCGAACTCGCTACCTCAGCTGTGCAATGACCGGTGCCTTAGTCCACTACACCAGCCTGCTTAGGTTCACAAAAAATAAGAAATAGTTTAGTATTATTTTCCTGATTATTGTACACCGAAAGTAGAAAAGCAATACTTTTTTCGCATTCAATTTCAAGTTTATCGCCATTTATGACAAAAACTGTTAATCTCTTGCAGTCATTGCCTCTTATATTAGAAGAATGTAAATATTCTTTCATTCAATTTAATGTTATGTAACTTTTTATCTTATATACAGTGCAGTGTATATAATTGCAATGTTTGTGACCTTAGGTTTGGGTATAAAAACTTATTGGTTTGAAATGAACCAGTTTTAATCGGTTCCGTTTAGAGAGTACCCTATAATATACACAATGTATTACTCATTGTCGGATCGGTGACCAGATTTTTGCTTGCATCAGATTAGTGTTGGCTGTTTGACCGAGGGTTAACCGTTTGACCCGGTTAACCTAAGGTTAAAATCAAAGTTTTTTCAAAGAGTCAAGGTAAAATTTGAAAAAATTGACCGCCATTAACCGAGGTTAACCTTATTTGGACGTCATGGTTAAAATTTTTTTACCCGGTTAACTATTTAGCCAACACTACATCAGCTATTAATTTGACAATATTCATTTGCTGATTATATTTTGCAAATACAGCAAAATAAATGCTTTGTTAGCGTTATTATAAATTTCAAAAATAAATACTTACAATATCTTGTTAGATATACAAACATTAAAAACATATTGTAAAAGTCTGTCGATTTGTTTTCAATATTTCTATATCTAATTAATAAGTATTTATTTATTAATTGAAACGTCGATTAAATAGTTTGCACTGCAATTGAGTTGATAACCGAAAGTAAACCTTAAATCTAAACAAGAGATGGCTGTTAAATATGCTGAAAGTTTCAATTTATTCAGTATTTGGTAAACATTGCAATTAATAACCGGATTTGAAGTTTGAAGCAACAAATGTATGCATTTTGGTGTAGAAATAAGTCTTTAATGTATTGAAAACTACTTTTATTTGAAGAAAAGTTTTGTTTTATTTTTTAATTTGTGGTCAAAAACGACAGCAACTTATTGGAAGTAACTATGAATTTTCTCATTTAAACATATACCATGGTCAATGTCTATATGATTATGTATATAATTAAATATATTAGTCTTTGTCTAAATGTTTTTGTTTGATATTTTCTTATTCTGGGCTCAAAATATTGAACCGAAATATCTGTTGAATCATTAATTGAGTATTTGTTTTAAATTGAATACTAATTCAAACTTTATTTATTATAATTAAGTTATTCCGAAGTTGTATTAATTGGTAATAGTTTTAAGAAATGAGATAAACATTATTTAGAAATATTAATTTCATTCAACATAATTGATATTAATATGAAATTCAATATAACTTAATGTTTGATTGTTAAAGTATTATTTTGTACATAATAAATATTATTTACAACTAGTTAATATTTCATAATAAATTAACAAAATTCATATTTGTTGTTATCACAATTAACTTCCGTAAATTAATATAATATTTCAATTTCTAATTGACAAGATTCATAAAAAGCCAATTATAGTTGATTTCTATTTTTAATAAACATTATAATTATAGTGAATGCAGGAAATATAAAGATAAATATAATCTTATTATTAATTTCTACAAACGATAAGACTATAAGACTTATACTGTATATGCAAATAATGATGAGATTTAATATATAAATAAATGAATGTTTACTTCTATTTAAAGGACATATATTTTCAATACCCGGTATTATAAGTTATAATTTTTAGCTATCCACTATATTTAAATAGCTATGTAAGTTATTAATTTATTGTAAAAGCAATTTCACAATATTCTTCTATACAACACATTATATTTATAAGTTAAAACTTATAAGTAATTAAAATATATATAACAAAAACAATGTCCTTCAGTGTCGATAGAAATATTTCTTAAATAAATATTAAATTAAATTTTATACTTGATCTGTAATTTCTAGGTTTTACATTTGCATTCAAAAATATTACTGTTAAATATAATGTGTTATTAACACAAAACATATATTAAGTTATAACAAATATTTATTTATTTAATAATTATAAAATTCTGTAATGCATTATTTATTTAATACGTATAAAATTTACAAATTATAAGTATAATGATATTAAAATTAACCAATATAATTTATAAATTAAATATATAAAGATCTCGTATCATATGATATGATTCATATCTAAAAATATTTAGTGGAATTGTCACTTGGTCAACATAGCTCAGTACACCATGTAAACCTTATATACCGATGCCTTTGTTCTTTTATTAAATTATTTAACTATATTATAATTTATAATTCCCTTAAAATTTTATAAATACAAGTAAGTCTTTAGATTTTATAAAAGTTTTATTTTTACTTTAAATGATAGCAAATCTAAGATATAGTTATGTATTTTGCAATACAATTCCCAATTCCCTTATACGCTAATCTCAAACCTTGGATTAAATGCCAAAATAATTCTATAATTACTTACAATTAATGGTATAAATATAATGATTGAAAGTCTTATAAGACTTACATAAAATTTAATTAGTTTTATGTTATATTAAAATAAATAAATAATACATTATAAGGTATGTTAGATTTAAATATTTCCAAAATGTATTATATTAAATAATATGGAATATATATTAAAATTAATTTAATTGTGGATAAATTGTGCAATATTAAAAATATATTTATATATTCTTATCTCTCGACACGAGTTTAATTATTATTATTATTATTCCGAGAAATTTGTTTTTAAAAAGTGGCTATCATTAGACAAATAAGTGATAATATAAATATTTAAATTTAAATATCTAATAATTTGCGCAATTGATTATACAGTTATAAATATATTGCGTTAATATTAATACAAACATTTCATATACAGTTGTGATGTGTTTACAAAATTGTATGCAATTGTTGTTAATTAGCCTTTAATTTGTTGATTAGATTTGTTCGTAGAAAACACTCATTGAGACGTGTTTTGGTAAAACTTTCCATCACTCGTCTCACAGACTTTTTTCATAGTCTATTTTCCACACTTATTCTACCCTTTTATAAAAGAAAGAAAGAGAGAGAGA